ACCAGTAGCCTAATGCGTCTGTGGCACAAAGGCTGTTTCTATAAAGTTGGGCAGTTCCAACTTTGCAAGGACAGTCTGCCGCTTCTGACTCACAGCCTGTAAGTAAGTTTTTTATATTTAAATAATTTGCCACTGATGATTCAAACGCGAGTTTTGAGCAGTGTAGAGTAGCGCTTGTTGTTTCTCTGATCACAAATGCAGACATGGTTTTATGTTTACGCAGCACGATACGCAACGCAATGCGTAAAAACACAGTATAAGTCATTATAATCAGTAATTATGTCCCCACTGGATGCAACAAATGCCTCATTTGTAATGGGTTTTATTGGTTCTGTCTCGTCCTGCTGGGAGACGGCATCACAGTGACGCTTTGTACGCACACACCTCGCTTTTCAGACCGATGAGCTTTGTAAAAATCGACGCGTTTCAGAAAGGCGGGGCATAGGAGAAACAATAATGTACAGTATGTGGAAAATAATGTGTTTTTTGAACCTTAAACCGCATAAACACATTTCTTTTTAACCTTAAACCGTATAAACAAATTTCATTACACCAAATACACAAAATAATGTTCTTTTTAGCAACGTCATATGACCCCTTTAAGAGGAATCGGAACTAGTAAAAATGACAAAAGTGCAAAATGACTAGCAGAGGTAGAGGGTGGGGGAATCAAACTTGGGTTCAAAGCAAGCAATCAAATCATGTGTGACAACAGCTTTAATATTAGAAAAAGTGGACTATGCCTGATTACTGTTCTTCACACATTCTATTTGCATAACCTAATTTTGGGTGTTGTGCAAGATCCCGGTGTATTGAAGTGGTTTGGCCCACAGCTTACATTCAAGATTACATTCAGTGTCGTCAGCAATAGAGAAACGCATCAAGCGTCCTTGATGAGCCCTTGATGCGGCCTTATTTTGCTGAGCTAGAACTAACTTGCCACGTATTGTGTGAGTGTATGCTTCATTTAAAAACTAATTACCGCAAAGCGAGTTCATTGTTAAACACCTTCCTATCCCACGGCCAGTGAAATTCCAAGGCGGAAGTTGCCTGGAAGAGCGCAGTTTGCTTACTCAGTTCAGCATATTAATAAGCTCAGCGCTGGGCGCTTTACTGAATGCCGGTGTATTTGCAGGTCGTGGAACATTGGGATCCTCACAGCAGTCCCACAACCAGTCTATCTATCCATGCTCTCCCTCACAGCGCTCCATATCTGCACTGGCCCTCAGGTCCAGAGTTTGACCTGACCAAGCCTGACCCCTATGACCTGTATGAGAAGTCCAGGGCTATCTATGAGAATAGGCGTAAGTAACTGAAGCAACTTCTTGCTAGCACCTAAAGCTAGCATTAATGCCTACTGCTAATCTGTGCTGTTTACCTACTGTATTTTTCCACTGAAATTTGCACACTTGCTTATGCACATCAAACACCAATTGTATTTCCTGTTATACATGTCAAAAGGTATGTAGCAGCGTGTCCTAATGAGGCACAATGTGCTAAAGCAGCTAACGATAAAAGCTATCTTTTCAGTGAGATTCGGAATGAGTGACATGAAATTTTGGCAATTACTTGATTTGTATTTCTGTAGCATTATGTAAAGTTGCCCTACTCACAGTGAAATCTCATTGGTTGAATTTTCCACTCCACATAGTTGTAAAAAATGTAATGGAAGAAATCGTAGCGTCAAATATCGGCCGTAGAAATGGAAGTTAAATTGAGTTGCTTTTATATAAGGAGTTTTTAGCCACTAAAGAAGCCAAATTTATGTTACAAATGTTGTTAGCTTTTACTACTGATATTAATCCTATCAGAGCTGTACTTGAATGTCTGTTAACAAGAGTAAATAGAGTTCAAGATGGCCACTGAATAAACTGATATTAAACTTCAAATATGTTCACCTACAACTTTCCATTTGGACCAAAAAATGACTTTTACTGGTGCCTTATTGAGTTGGGCCTGGTTAGAACATGGACTTGAGTGACCATGCCAGCTCTCTTGGACTCAAAAAATACCTTTCCATTGTCGTGTCTTACAATGTTGTCCTCCATGGTAAGTGTTTTGAGGTTGTTGCATCTTGTCAGTTTGGAAGTTTCCCACAATGAGATCTGTAGAGCTGCTCTGGGGTCTGGGAGAACTTTAGTGGTCTTAGTGATTTTGAGGTTATATAACACTTTACATTATTAATACAGGTACTTTCTTAACCAAAGAAACCAATATGAACCAACATTCATATTCATTGCATTTTAAGTAGAAGTGTATGTTTAATTCAACAAATAGTTTGAAATGCACCAATTCATACTTATTACTGCACCTGAAATCTACTGCATATTGAACAAATAAGTCTGAACTGTCAATAGAGTTTATTTTGCATTTCTAAAGGTGCTTTAAACTGATTGACAGCGATTGAATCGATAGAGGTCAACATGTTCTGCTGCTAGCAGGCGCTTCTTTTCAACTTCTGTCTGCTCTCCCATTATTGGTCACTTCATCGTTTCACTGGCTATTTGCATAAACCTTTTTCTACTGACATTTTTCAACTGTTTTAAATCAGCAGGTGTGCTCTTCCTCATTACTGTTTCCTAGTCTATACCTCCTCCTTTATTTTGTATATAGTTTTCTCTAGTATTCACAGCTGGCAATGACAGGTTGGCAATGGAAATGTTGGTTAGTGTTGATGATTACTTTCTCTCTTGTGCAATGATCCTCCTTAGAATTATAAGAGGTTTTTGCTTTATTATTATTATTATTATTATATTTAGCATCTATTGTAGATACGCTGGTGATTATAGACTTGGTGTGCAAACAGTTTGGTTTCTCTTTAAGGTAAGTATGCTCGCTTCCTGATAGTTGCTTACATTTTGTATATTTTTCTGTGAGCCACGTCTCATTTTTTGAGGAAGATGCTTTAAACAGCCTCATTTTGTGAATTTGCACCTCTTTCTAAACTGAAAGTGTCAGGAATGTTTGAGTATGTTCAGTCACAACACTGTTAATGTTTTATAGCTGTTTGAAAATGCACTTGATGTTGCAAAGATGCTGTAGAGATTTTGCATTCTGTCAAGATGGTTAATAGAAACTTTTAAAATCTCATAAATACGTATTATATTCAAGCATTTTTTAAGGAGCTTAGGTTTTAACAACAACAACGACACGTATTCTGTTTATGTTAATGCATATTTTATGTCATTTTTGATGGCTGAATTCATAAACCTTTATACTTTTACCTTTTTTATCATTTTATACCTTTAAACTTTTGCTTTATACTTTTTTTGAATGAAACCTTATCAGGACATCAAAAAACACTTTTTTGAACAATATTTATGTTGTAGAAAGGCTGAAATTAATATCTTAGTATTTATGTATTTGCTCTGAAATGGCGTTGTATGGTAAATTCTATCAATCATTAAAAAGTTAATGTATTTAAAGCGTGTTTTCCATGCTCTTCTTATTGAATGCAAAGAAAATTATTTAATCATTTTATATGCGCTCATTTTACAATAAATAATAATAAACAGCAACATTCAACTGCATATGTTTATTGAAACATTCCAAAGCATGCAAAATATCACACAGAGACTTCCACAAATAATTTAATTCTGAACTGATTCATTTCAAAAGAGCTCATTTGCCTAAATGAATCAAACTCTAATGCAATTGAGGTTTAAATTAGAGAGCTTAGCATCTTGACACTGTCGTACTTAAACCAGCCTACTGCTACAGTCGAATGAAAAGCATGTAAATCATCCCAATATATATCAATATGTTGGTTAAATATCACCAGAATATCAACCAGCTCCAGCAGAGAGGCAGATGAGGTTGCAGGAATGATGCCGTTCCGATCAGACTCCCTCTCAGAATCAGGCTCAAGCTTCACCTGGCACCTAGTTTAAATGCAATATACATATAGCATAATGTATGGTCGTGTTTAGGTTTTCAGGCCGAAATGCGCTGCTCATACCGATCTCAGTGTCTGTCTGCTCTGAGCCAGGAGATGAACTTGAGTTTTGAGATATTATATAATTAAAACCCCAAAATCAAGAACTGACTTCATACATCCACTAAAAAACACCTAAACACCAGTTGATTAAAAGTCAGTCAGAATTGTCAAAGTAGTTCACATCATTTTATTATGAAATGACATTTTAAGTGTGCTTTAAGTGCATTTTTTGTGGGCACTGTATATTCACATATATCTTCATTGCTTTGTAGCTGTTGGGCATTATATTAGTGAGACAGGTGATGTATATGTTGTAGTTAGTATATTTAGAGTTGTGTGTGTTTATATAAGCAGTGATTTATGGGCTGTCCTTGTATCTCTCCCTTTCTTAGAGCCAGGGCTTCCTCGAGGAGCTCTCCTAGCTGACCCTTCCGGTGAGTAAATAAATCTACACCCAAAACAGAAACAATCTGACAGGAGTTTGTTGAAGTTAATTTTTTATATCCAGTTTTTATGACCTCTATAATATAATATAATATTATATATATATATTTTTTTAATATTTGGCATAAAGTTTGGCCTGCTGCAGTTTGACATTTTTCTGCATTTATTATCTTCAAATACTAAAATCATACGCCTAAAATCATATGCCAATTTTAAGGAAATGTTTCATCAAAACTATCATTACAAAAAAAAAAAAGGCTAGAAATAATATTTAGTATTTATGTATTTGCTCTGAAATGGTAATAAAATAAAGTCTAAATAGAAATTACAGTGTAATGCCTTGCACATTAAAATCATTTAAAGGTGCATCAAAAAAAAGTCAAATATAAACTCGAAAATATAAATGCAAATAAAGTCTGAAAGTCTAGTATTCATTTTTTATGCACTTATTGTGACCTCTGTGAAATACTAGCTGGAGATTTTATTTTTTGCCAGCTTTTGCCACTTGTCATTCGCACTGCCTTGAGAATGAAGCTCTCAATGCAGGTTCAAGAACATAAAATGAATGATTTTACAAATTAAGTACTCAATTAACAGAAATGGGGGTCTTAAATGTCATCCAGAACACTAAATTACACTTGAAGGATGAGAATAGTCGTAGTTGTGAGATAAATGTGTGCTTTCATTAACACCATCAGAGTTCCAGGAGGTGGAGGTGCACTTGCGCAGACAGAAGTCCGGTTTTGGCTTCAGGATCCTGGGCGGAGAGGAACCAGGACAGCCTGTGAGTCCGGAGGCTCAGAAGAAGGCCCGTACTCTAGGACTAACCACACGCTCCCTAAAACAGAGCTCACTGTCATTTGCTACCATGATAATGTGTCTGTTCGTCCACTTTAGTTTCCTTATATAGTTTAAAGAGAGTCTGTAATAACCGTGCTGTGCATTTACAGATCCTGATTGGTGCAGTCATCGAGAAGAGCCCAGCAGATAAAGACGGGCGTCTCCGGCCAGGAGACGAGCTGATGTCAGTCGATGGGATCCCTGTGGCTGGAAAACCCCACCGTTACGTCATTGACCTCATGCACGGGGCGGCTCGGACTGGGCAGGTTAAACTCACTGTACGACGGAGAATTCAGTCCACAGGTGAGGAATGGCTGATGTTTATTTCATTTGTCTACCAACAATGTCCAACAGTGAACGTACATCTTTTAATATAGTGTCATATCTATTGTGTTTAATAGCAATTTGTGGTAGAAATGTCATTTTTAACATTTTGAGTGGAAAGTGGCTACCTTCTTTGTCTTGCTAAGGCTAATTTCATTGCTACATCCTAAAAACACAGTTAAACAACAACGTTTCTGCATAATATTACAAATATTACAGTTTGATTGGAAATGACACACAATCATAATATCAAAAGTGAACATAAAATGTTTAAAAAAGCTTTTACACCCCACAAGCAAGCTAGCGAAACACAAGGGATTTGACTGTTTATTTGTGTTAAATCTGAACAAATATGTGATATTTACCTTCTTCACCGTCACATGTGTTATATTTCATCTCAAGCATGCACTTCACTGTTGTCTCCATGGTAACCAAGTACACTAACATTCGATTTTTGTTATAAAAATGTAAATTTATTAGGGTCAAAATTGATTGTTGTGGTGGAAATGACACCAAATGAGGAACATTCATATTTTAATTGGCATAAATTAAACAATGAAATAGTTTATTTCAGCTTTGTTTTAAATGATCATAGTTCTAAACATGTAACATGTATTTTCAAAATGGATTTTCATAGTTTAAGATTAAAAGTCTGGGTCTAGGACAAGAGTTAAGCAATAAAATATGCTCATAAAACACATCTGAAAAATAACAAGAATAAAAGATGGTAGCATGATCCAAAGTTTCCAGTGCAGATTTAATATGATGTTCATATATCAAAAGAGAGAGAGAAAAAAAATGACATTTGTTTTAATAATAATAAAGTTATAATAATAAACCCTTGGGGCATAAATCTGCCTGAAGCTGAAGAAACAACCTTTAAAGGCTAAAGCTTGTCATTTCCTGACAGTTACAGCATTTATAGATTGTTGCAAAGTATATATATGGAGGTAATGAAGCAGGTTCTGTTAACTCTGCTGCTTATTATGTGTCCTCTGTCTGTCTCTCTCCCGTCCACTCTGTCTAATAATTCTTGGTGTAGCTGAGGCTCAGATTCTCTCCCTCTCGAGCTCTACCTCCCTCATCCATCCCGCTGTCTGGCTCATCCTCTCAGTCTTATCTTCCCTGGACAATCGTTTCTCCCCCTTTTCATCTCAGTGGAGCGGTTGAGGCAATGTCTGGCTGCTGGCTTTTTTTGGCTTACCGTTTGATCACAGAAGGACTTCAGACCAGCTTTAGCCAAACCCTATACTATAGACTCTTTCTTTCTTTCTCTCTCTCTCACATTCACTTGTATTAATCGTAGTTGATACCTGTTTCTGTATCTAAAAATTGTATTTAATGTTTTTAATGTACCTGTTAGAGGTAAAAAATAAATAAATAAATAATATATTAAAGTTATAATTGTTCTAGTAATATTTTGAATATAAATATTGAATATATATATATTTGAATATATTTTGAGTATAAAAATGTAATTCATTCCTGTGATGCAAAGCTGAATTTTCAGGATCATTACTCCAGTCTTCAGTGTCACATGATCCTTCATAAATAATTCTGATATCATACTTTTTTTAAGATTCTTTGATGAATAGAAAGTTCAAAAGAACAATGTTTGTTTGAAATAGAAATCTTTCGTATCATTATAAATGTATTTTCTGTCATTTTTAAACTATTTATTGTGTCTTTGCAGTATAAAAGCATATAGTTCTTTCAAAGAAAACTAACAAAATCTTACCCAAGCTTGTAAATCGTTATATAAGGTACAACGGAGCTAAAGGCCCACCTTAAGAAAAAAATGTGCTATTCACTGCACCTAAAATGTATAATTTCAGAAAAAATATATACGTTGTATTGGACATTAATGGAGCAACAGATTTTGTGTGAAAATAAATCATTCAAGTTGTTTCTTTTGTTTAAAAATCTTATAAATGTATGAGGTGGCATGATGGGCCTTTTACTCCACACACGGGGTAAAAGGCCCACCAGCATGGGGTAAAAGTCACACGGTATTGATACAAATATTTCAGGTAAAATAATGTTAAAATTTTTAAGCTAATTTTTTTTTTTTTATTATGTCTAAGTTAATACTTGTTCAAAACAATCACTTTAGCAAAGTTTGTACTATTTTCTGCTTATTTTGAAAAATAAAATATGAAATGTCATTAAAATACAGAAACAAAATCATTTTAATAAGTAAAGATTCTGAAAGTATTGAAGGATATTTAATAATAATTGAATATTTATTTACAGTAGTAACAACAAATGATATTTTATTATATGATATGATTAATATCATGTTTTTAAATATGATGGTTTCATTCTAAACATGGTGATTATCTCTAATATGGACACCCAACATAATATATGATATGTACCATCTGAATCTAACCATGTCATCTCAACAAATGGAAAAGTCAGCCATCTATTAATTATCATGTTAATTACTGTGTGCCTTTAGCCCTTTAAACAAAACTGAAAATCATAAAGAAGACCTTTGTCTCAAAATATATGCATTAATTTGAGCAATTCTCATTTGCTACTTAAATCGACAACATTTAAAAAAAAAACATAAAATATTAGATCAATAAGCACAGAATCAACTTTGCGCTGCTGCGCGCGATCGCATCAAAGATCAGATAAATACACGCGTGCGTCATGAAAAGCGGATGTTTTGGAAAGTACTACTCCACGTTTTTGTGCCATCTAGTGGTAAACTTTAGCCCCGTTGTACCCTACTATGTAAAAATATTGTCACTTTCAAAACCTCCTTTCCTGTCCAAAAAGATGTTTTCATGTTCTTATTTTGACTAGATACTCATGAAATTCTGAAATATACAGTTTAGTGGTCATAATACAGAAATATTTGACTGCACATTGAATGCAACGATTAACCAATTAGAATCAAATATATAGAATGTGTTGTGGCTTTGCAGCTGCACAATCATCTCATAGTAAATCATCTTTTTGAACCCCTTTCATAGTAAAATTTCATAGTACTGAGACAGCTTTGGTCAAGGTCACCAATGATCTGCTAATAGCCTCAGATTCTGGTTCTCGCTCTGTTGTTATTCTTCTTGATCTCAGTGCCTCTTTTGATACTGTTAATCACAACCTTTTAATCAATCGTCTCGAAACTGTCTTTGGTGTTTCTGAGACTGTTTTAACCTGGTTTAGATCTTACCTCACTGATCTTCAACAGTTTGTTTGTATGAGTGGTTTTTGGATGGGCTCTGTCCGTACGGGTGTTCCTCAAGGTTCAATTTTAGGCCCCTTACTTTTATGCATTTACATATTTCCACTCGGACTTCTTCTAAGATCACATGAGCTTAATTATAATTTTTATGAAGACGACACTCAGATTTATATTCATTCTAGGCCTGGTAATAATTTGGATGTTTTTTTTTTAACACATTGTATTTCTCAGATAAAATATGGATGTCTGAATACTTCTTGTGTCTTAATAATGATAAGACTGAAGTCTTGCTCATTGGCTCCTCCCATCAGCTTCGTAAATATATATAACCATTGATTTCAGAGTCCTTTTCTTTCTCGCTGTTTTATCTTCAGGTGAACACTGTCCAGAGAATGGCCGCAGTCCTGGATCGACCCAGCACAGTTCCCCGAGGAGTGACTTCAACTCCAGAATGTTCTATAACAACTCCGCCCCCTTGCAAAACTCTGCCCCATCCACCACAGGCTCCTCCCCACCAGACACTGTAGCCAATCACAATCTGCAGCCTAGTGATGTCACCATCCAGCGCAAGGAGAGCGAAGGGTTCGGATTCGTTATTATCAGTTCACTGAACAGGCCTGAATCTGCAGCTGCTGCTGGTAAGGAATAATTATTTTTGTACACTTCACACACTTTAATTTGAACTTATTTTCAATCTGGAATGTTCCTTTACTGTAATAGCTTACTCAGGTTGGCTGCTTCAAAGGGCAATAGTGATTTTAAAAGTGCAGCATGTCCTCATAAACCTGTGTATTAATAATGGATGCACTCCTTTTTGAGTGCTGAAGAGGCTAGTTACAATGTTCTAATGCAGCGCCCACACTCGTATATAAAAACAGATCCACTAACAGGAAAGGACAGAGTGCAGATAGAGAGCTCTCTCGATGCGTTACGTAAAAAGTATTTGTGCGTGTGTGTTGTCAGCCGTACCCCATAAGATCGGCCGGATCATTGAGGGAAGTCCAGCAGACCACTGTGGGAAGCTCAGGGTTGGAGATCGTATTTTGGCCGTCAACAATCAGTCTATCGTCAACATGCCACACGCCGACATCGTCAAACTGATCAAGGACGCGGGACTCAGCGTCACACTCAGGATCATCCCTCAGGAGGGTGAGTTGACATCTGTGAAACTGTTTGAATGGGACTTTTACGCAAAGATTGACTCTTACATAATTCTTCTACTGAAACGACTATGTGTAATAGCCATTTCAATGTTAAAATACTTTCTTTTATCTGAGTTTAATATGCAGAGACAACTTTAAGTAAGCCATTTACAGGTCGACTTCCTGAACATTGCTCTGACATGTCAAATGGCTCAACCAATAGTGTGAGGTTGGGCGGGACTACCTGTTTTTCTGAACAATGGAAGAGGGTGGGGTAAAAGGACTGGTCAGGGTGTTTGTGGAATGTTATTTTTGCCGTGTGCTTTGTGAAGCAGAGATTTTACGCTGTAGCTTTAAGGAGCCTCTGACTGTTTTTTTAAATAATCTGAATTATTTCAAACAAGCTATCCTTTGACAATTTTTTTTTAAAGCATAATATAAGTATTTTTAGAAGTTAAAATGTCATTGGATGCTATTACTGTTTTTTTCTGAATGGTAGTTTGTAGGGCTGTCAAAATAGCTGAAAAACTAAATTCGAATTTTGTACTTAAACATTATCAATATTCTAATTATATTAGAATTTAAAAGGCATAATTTCAGTTAGGGTGGGAAAAAAACTTTTGGCTTCTCTCCTGAGGCCACAAGAGGGCGCATCGAACAAAATAATAAAAACGTTTTAATAATAGCATAATAAAATATAATATAAAATATAATAATAGCATAATAAAATAACACGACTATCTTTGAAAAAAGTGCATAATGTTTAAAATAATGCTTATAAACCTTATATAATTAAAGTTGCTTAAACAATTAGAAACAAAACAGAATAATGCATGTATGCATAGTTTAATACAAAGGACCGAAAACCAATCACAAAGAGTACTTTCTTCATTTAAAAACATGAGATGCAGTAGGATGGGGAAAAACCGCCATAAAGTCTTGAGACATGTTTTTAAAAAGTTGAACTTACATTAATTTTACATGGCTTTCTAAACATGTGGCTTTCTTGTGCGAGACGCGAGTGTAACAATGATAGATGTCCCTCTAGAAAATGTGATAAATATGCATTCTGTGTGAATGGTTTGGTTTCGGTTTTGACGTAAACAACATAATCTCCGCATTATGGTCTTTTTCCCGCAATATTTTAATGAACAACATAGCAGTGCCGCATCTAGTGGGTTCAACTGGATAGGCTAAGAAAAACATTAAAATGCAATGACACTTACATCGTCATCGTATCTCGTGCACCACTGATAAAGCTGCCTGATGCACACCTAAAATTTGAATGCAATGTTTTTGCATTAGAATGTGGATTTTTATTTTAAATTCGACGAATATTCGAATTTTTTTTGGACAGCCCTAGTAGTTTGTGATAAAATTACAGGGGGGTTGTGAGATTGTGCCTGAAATGTCAGTGCTAAAATTAAATACAAATGTTTAAAAAAAAATACAATTTAAAATTGCAAGAAAGTCATACAGGTTTATAATGACATGAGGGTAAGTAAATGATAACAGAATTTTCATTTTTAAGTGAACTATCCTTTAGAAATGCAAATTCACGAAATGGTTGCACCATTTGTTTATGGTACAGAAATCCACTTTAACTATTCATTGGCATTCTTTTTTCATGCTAACATGCTTCCTTTCTATGTAAATTATGTTTATTATAGATTCCGCCTTATTCAAAATTGCAATGCTGTGCCGTTTAGTAAAGTATGCCAGATTATGGAGATTATGGTAATACTTCATGAACTAGCGCTCAGAACCAGCCTCCAACATGGAAAACTGTGGCATTCAAATCATTCAAATTGATTTTGGGCATGTTTGCGATGTTATTTTATTTGCATGATTATTTCTGTGAATTTAGTGGTAAAATAACATAGACGGTACATGCAAACGGTACTCATGCAACCCTTAAACTGTTGCTTTAGAATTTAAAAAAAACCTGTGTTACAAAGAGAAGCTCTGAAAATAGCTTAGCTTTTTGTCTTTTCTCCATTTTTCAGAGACAAACAGCACGCCTTCTGCAGGCAGCTCAGAGAAGCAGAGCCCTATGGCCCAGCCCAGTCCAGTTTGCCAACCCAGCACTGTGAACCAGACGGGTGCTGCCCATCCACCCAACTCCACCCCTCAACCCAACTCTGCACCTCAGCCCGGCCCCATAATGCAGCCTAGTTCAGAAGCACAACCGAGCCCTGTCACTCAAACCAGCCCAGCTAATCAGCCTAGCTCAGTGACCCAACAGAACCCGCCCACCCAGCCATCCGCAGTGCCAGTACAGATCTACAGCAATGACAGCAGGCAAGGCGCCAACACAAATTACATTATTACTTAAATATGTTTTAAGCTGTTGCACTAGTTTTACTGTTGCTCTGCTCTAGTAGCTACTCTACTAAAGTTCACTATTTATAGAGTGAATCTGAACCTCTCTGAGTCACAGACTCCCTCTCACTGTTAGGTTGTTGCGTAAAATCACTTATCTCTTACAGAACTGAATAATTTACCTACATGGCTCTTTAAAACAGTTTTTAATCATTCATATAGCCTGCAGGGACCAATGATTTCACTTCCTCTCCATGCTCACTCAAGTTTCAATATACACCCTAGAGCTCCTCAGGCTTCGCCATTTTCAACAGAACATTATCCTGCATTAAACTTTAAAATTCATTAGAGAGGTAGCTCCGTCAGTGGTAGGTCGTTTTTGACGGCATCTGCTGGAAATATTATGAGAGAATCTCCCCATTCTTATATATACAGTATATATATATATATATATATATATATATATATTACAGCTTTTGTTGGCGAGTGTAACAATGATAGATGTCCCTCTAGAAAATGTGATAAATATGCATTCTGTGTGAATGGTTTGGTTTCGGTTTTGACGTAAACAACATAATCTCCGCATTATGGTCTTTTTCCCGCAATATTTTAATGAACAACATAGCAGTGCCGCATCTAGTGGGTTCAACTGGATAGGCTAAGAAAAACATTAAAATGCAATGACACTTACATCGTCATCGTATCTCGTGCACCACTGATAAAGCTGCCTGATGCACACCTAAAATTTGAATGCAATGTTTTTGCATTAGAATGTGGATTTTTATTTTAAATTCGACGAATATTCGAATTTTTTTTGGACAGCCCTAGTAGTTTGTGATAAAATTACAGGGGGGTTGTGAGATTGTGCCTGAAATGTCAGTGCTAAAATTAAATACAAATGTTTAAAAAAAAATACAATTTAAAATTGCAAGAAAGTCATACAGGTTTATAATGACATGAGGGTAAGTAAATGATAACAGAATTTTCATTTTTAAGTGAACTATCCTTTAGAAATGCAAATTCACGAAATGGTTGCACCATTTGTTTATGGTACAGAAATCCACTTTAACTATTCATTGGCATTCTTTTTTCATGCTAACATGCTTCCTTTCTATGTAAATTATGTTTATTATAGATTCCGCCTTATTCAAAATTGCAATGCTGTGCCGTTTAGTAAAGTATGCCAGATTATGGTAGTCTGCTGAATACTTCATGAACTAGCGCTCAGAACCAGCCTCCAACATGGAAAACTGTGGCATTCAAATTGCATTCACAGATTTTGGGCATGTTTGCGATGTTATTTTATTTGCATGATTATTTCTGTGAATTTAGTGGTAAAATAACATAGACGGTACATGCAAACGGTACTCATGCAACCCTTAAACTGTTGCTTTAGAATTTAAAAAAAACCTGTGTTACAAAGAGAAGCTCTGAAAATAGCTTAGCTTTTTGTCTTTTCTCCATTTTTCAGAGACAAACAGCACGCCTTCTGCAGGCAGCTCAGAGAAGCAGAGCCCTATGGCCCAGCCCAGTCCAGTTTGCCAACCCAGCACTGTGAACCAGACGGGTGCTGCCCATCCACCCAACTCCACCCCTCAACCCAACTCTGCACCTCAGCCCGGCCCCATAATGCAGCCTAGTTCAGAAGCACAACCGAGCCCTGTCACTCAAACCAGCCCAGCTAATCAGCCTAGCTCAGTGACCCAACAGAACCCGCCCACCCAGCCATCCGCAGTGCCAGTACAGATCTACAGCAATGACAGCAGGCAAGGCGCCAACACAAATTACATTATTACTTAAATATGTTTTAAGCTGTTGCACTAGTTTTACTGTTGCTCTGCTCTAGTAGCTACTCTACTAAAGTTCACTATTTATAGAGTGAATCTGAACCTCTCTGAGTCACAGACTCCCTCTCACTGTTAGGTTGTTGCGTAAAATCACTTATCTCTTACAGAACTGAATAATTTACCTACATGGCTCTTTAAAACAGTTTTTAATCATTCATATAGCCTGCAGGGACCAATGATTTCACTTCCTCTCCATGCTCACTCAAGTTTCAATATACACCCTAGAGCTCCTCAGGCTTCGCCATTTTCAACAGAACATTATCCTGCATTAAACTTTAAAATTCATTAGAGAGGTAGCTCCGTCAGTGGTAGGTCGTTTTTGACGGCATCTGCTGGAAATATTATGAGAGAATCTCCCCATTCTTATATATACAGTATATATATATATATATATATATATATATATATTACAGCTTTTGTTGATAAAAAAAAGCTACAATTTTGAATTTCCACATTTTTGCAGACAAGTTTGACAAGAAATTGCAATAAAAACACCATAGAAGTAGTCCAAGTCTCACTTGTTATTGCATATATTCCAAATGTTTGCATAAGATTCAACATCACCAAATGCCCTTGGTTCTGCTCTGATTGGTTGTTCAGCTACAGGTCAGAGGTGAAAGCAAGACAGGATGTAAAACCTGATATTCGGCAGCCGTTCACTGATTACCGGCAGCCCCCGGTGGACTACCGACACCCTCCTGTAGCAGACTACCGACAGCCACCAACGCTCGATTATAGACACCCCCCGCTGCTGGACTACAGACAGCTGTCCACTGACCCTCGCACCTTCCCCTTACCCGACTACAGGATGCCACAGGTAGCTCTGCTGCCACTATGTATTCATGCATACACTGTGCTACAGTTTTATATGGAGTAGAAATACACACTGATATCATAATTCTTCACTGAAGTGGCACTGACAGTTCATTTCCATAATGTATGCATTATGCATGTCCATAAAATGTCCATAATATGTGTGTGTATGTGTGTGTGTGTGTGTGTGTTTTTGCAGGATTTTGATTACTTCACGGTTGATTTAGAAAAGGGTATGAAAGGTTTTGGCTTTAGTATCCGTGGAGGCCACGAGTATAAGATGGACCTGTTCGTTCTACGATTGGCTGAAGATGGACCAGCAATACGCAATGGAAGAATGAGGGTGAGCTTTCTGTCCATCAATCCATCCATTATCTGTCTGTCTATCTATCTATCTGCCTGTCCTTCCATCTGTCCTTCCATCCATCCTTCCATCATATCTCTGTCTGTCTGTTTCTCTGTTTGTCTACCTGTCCTTCCGTCCGTCCATCCATCCTTCCCTCCATCCAATCATCCTTCCATCATCTCTCTGTCTGTCTGCCTGTCCTTCCGTCCGTCCATCCATCCTTCCCTCAATCCATCCATCCTTCCATCATCTCTCTGTCTGTCTGCCTGTCCTTCTGTCTGTCCGTCCGTCTGTCCATCCATCCATCCACCATAATCTGTCTGTCTCCCGCTCTCTGTCTTTTGGTCTATCCATCGATCCATCCATCCATCATCTGTCTATCTCTGTCTGTCTGTCTATTTGTCTATCTATCTATGCATTCATCCATCATCTGTCTTTCTGTGTGTCTATCTATCTATCTATCTATCCATCCACCCATCCATCCTATTCTGCTGCTATTCTGTTCCTTGTTCAGCTCGTATCTGTAATGAAGCTGTCATAGCTAATGTGAATAAAACAGTCCCCTTAGGATATTCTCTCTCTTTTTGTACCTCTCATTACAGCCTTTCATATTTAGTCCATTACCTTCAGATCACACTCAGTGACCGTTACCTTCCATTCAAGAGCCTCAGTTCTGACTGTAAACATCATCCTGTCTTCTTTTGGGGCGTGAATATAACCGCAGCACAAAATGTTTTTTGAATCTATAATTAGTTTGTGGTGGAACAGACCCGTGGTATTTAAAAAAGTCCATTAAGCATGAAGTCATATAGCCCCCAGTAGACACTGCTGCTGCTGCTGTCGATTTCCACACATGCCCTCTAGATACACCAAAAACATGAGAGAGCTGCTGACACTGCTAGCTATGATCCTTTTACTAACAATTTCCACCCCAGAGGTCAGAGGAACCGGCCCCAGACATAGTGTAGGAACAAAAAACGAGACACTCCTTGTCAGAAATGAGAGAATTGAGGGTCATACTGCTCTCTGCCCCTCATTCAAACAAGATCTTAATGAGTCATAAAAAACTAGCCGCCCAGCACTGGCAGCGACCTGCCAGGACTTCCACATTATCCAGACCATTTGAGAGGAATACTCCATTTGTTACTATAATTGGCTCGTTCTTTTTCCCCAGCCCCTGGCCAATTAGTCCACAGACACAAGACAAGTTCAGTGCACCTACATGCTCAGCATCAGCATATATGCTTTTCCTGTTTTAGGGGCACCTATATTTTCAAAATGATGCAACCTTGTCTAGATTATTTGTTTGTATGTTAAGGGAAATTATGATATTTATTATGGTATTTATTAAGGATGTGAAAAATTGTTTTTGTTTGTTTTTTTTCAACCGTATTTTCTTCTCTAATAACTGATTAGCAGAACTAATATTCAAATGAATTATACAAAATTATATGATTATAATTTTTATTATTTATTATGTTGTGCTGTTTTTTTTAACACAATGGCAAACAATCATTAGGCTACTACAATATAAAATTAATTATATGATATTATATTGTATTATATTATAATTATAATATATATATATATATATACGTGTGTGCGTGCGTGCGTGCGTGCGTGCGTGCGTGCGTGTGTGTGTTTTTCTACGCAAATTAGGTATTATAAATTAGTCTGTATCATTAACTAGTCTATAGGTTTTCTGAATGATTAGTCAAGAAGTAATGAAGCAGAAGAAGAGCAACAAAAAGGAACAAAATGCAAGGGTCCCAAGACACATTTTTTACTTTATTTTCAACTAGTTTTAACATAACACTTTAAAGAAATGTTGGCAGAGCAAGACACTGAAAAAGGGTGGAGATAAATCCATCTACATGGGAACATGGATAAACAACAAAAAATGTGTGTTTGTTCGACAGGGTAACAGAGATATTTAACAAATGAACAAAAAATCTTTAAGCTTTTTATAACACAAAACCATCTTAGCCCACACACACACAAAATGAGACCTACAGATTATGCATAATAACAGGAATATTGCTCACAGCAAATGATCAGACAGTCTGACAGTACTGACAGTAATGTTCTTGAAATGTATTGTTAAAGGTGGTGGATTCGCTACACAAGTGGCACTTTGATGGCTATGCTGTAATGAAGATGAATTTAGAGACACAACTGCTGCTAGAAATATTAAGATAAAACATAAAATATGAAAAGAAAAAAATAAGTAAGTTGGTGGGCAACTAATTGTAGTAATATTGATCATACCGGCTTCCTTTGTATCAAAGAAGGGCAATTAACCAGTCCCTCATTATCCCCAATAGCCGTACACCTTCCTCACGGTTGATGAAGAGCATCAGTATTGTAGCTCATAGGAACCTTGTACCCATGATTCATTCATCCATTTATGTTAATTCTGAAATTAATGAGTACTCGATCTCATTCATGACTGCTAATGCTGATTAGCGCTTAACCGAAACAGCCGACATGAGTTATGGACCTATATTGATCCTACTGAATAATTATCCTTAATAAATGATAGTCATATTAATTTTATAATTAAAACCAGAGAGGGTGCAATTCAAAGCTGTCGTAGGTTTTTGAATGCTAGATGAACATTCTGGAGAGTAGACCGTTTTGCTTATGGATTTTCCATCAAAAACACCTTTTCAAACAGATAATAGCCATATTTTGTCTGTTTTTCAGGTTGGTGATCAGATCATTGAAATAAATGGGAAGAGCACGAGGGATATGACCCACGCTCGGGCCATTGAACTCATCAAATCGGGTGGCCGTAGAGTTCGCCTGCTGCTCAAGAGAGGCACAGGGCAGGTCCCTGAGTATGGTAGGTTTACACAGACTGTCTGAACACATACCTTACTGCTCAGAAATGTCTACAGCTTTAGTTCACTTAGTTTACAGGGTCTCAAGAGATGGAGTAACCATCAATTTGATCTTTGGAGAAGGTCATATTTTATTGGGTAATGTATTAAGAAATGTATAATATAGCAGATTGGCAGAAGATCACAACATACATATTGAAATATGTTGTGAAATAATGGATTATTGTAGACTTATTCACACCAGGAGCAAGATTTGTGCAGTTGACGGGTTTTATTTGATACATTATTATTAATATTCTGCTCTCAATGGGAATTCCTAGATCATTTTAGAAAAAGGTCACCATCAGTTAGTTTTTCTCAACTGCTTTAGCTCATTTATTGAATCAGTCTTAAAATTCTCTAAACTGTAAGTGCAACTGTGACAACTGTTTTTAATGGGACATAGCACAAAATGTATAACTCACCCAAAACATTTAATTCATGCTTCGCAACTTGTTATTGTGTCATTAAATTGGCACCAAAATGAAAATGTTTTTGTCATCATGTGAGCTATAGTGGTCAAAATGTTTAAATCAAAATCAAAAATCAAAATTTTTTTTTGCTTATACAAGAATATCAGTTTTGTCTAGCTGAATGCTATTGTGTGTCATATTGAGCTTTTTAGAATCAGATTTCAAGAGTAAGTAAAATTAGGGCTATGCTCAACAAACTTCTCTATTCTTCAAAACAGGTTGCATCGCTTCCGATTCAGGTCTTTTGTATGTTTCGTTAAATATTTAACCGTTTTACTCAAGATGCCTTCAAAAGAAATACCAGGGATCATCTTAACTGATGTCCATCACATATGCAGATTGATATCTACAAGTTGTATTTTTCTTCTTTTCACTAACTTTCTAATGTTAAAAAAGAATGAAACACCAACAATAAAAACATCAGTTTATACTGCTGTTAACACTTTCTCCAACAGGCAATAAAGGAATGTTTTAGTTGTGAAGAACATGACAGTTTCACTGAGAATTAACTAATAAGTTTTGATCAGCAAGTCATGTGGATTGTTATTCTGCAAAGTATTGTACTGTACTTACTCTTTTGGACACGTTTGCCAAAACATGTACAACTTGCATAAAATTTGTAAGAAATTCAATCATTGTTCAATGATCTGAACTTACTGTTTTGAGAGAGAAAAAAATCGAATTTAAGAATTGAGCCAAAGCGATTGAAAAAAAACCATTCTCTTGTACACTAATACAATTTTCCTGCTAACACAACACTTCTTTAACATGACTGTGGCAGCATGCTCTTTGTATTAATGCAGATATAGCTAGTCTTCTTCTCTTTCATCTGTGTTATGGCTGTTAGTAAATAATTCTCACTTCCGTTCCCAATTTTCCTCACTGAATACTATCTCAGCACTGATCTTAATACTGTCTTAGCCTGTGGCTGCTGTTCTAACCCTAATGATTGGTCTAGGTTGTTACTTCACCTCTTATAGGAATGGTACCTTCCAGTCTCTCCATGTGCATGAAAAGTGACAACCATGGCTCCCCCTATTTCTTCCTAATGGGCCATCCTAAAGACACGGTTTGTAACAGAGTGCATGCGTTCTAACACACCAGTCATCATTCTTTCTTGGAGTGCTGTGGTTTGGATTGTTTTTTTTAGAGTTTTTTTTTATTATTCATTTAATTTATATGTACAGTATATAAAATCAGTTTATAAATTATAGCATATATAGTTGATGACATTGTGTGTTTTGGATCTGAATCTGTGTTAGCGAATGTAACTCACATGTAACTTGTCTTTTCATAATATAATATTATGAAATCTTAGTTTTGATATTCAGACATTATACACACAGTACTTATAACATAAGCACAATAATCTTCACTCATTAACCACAGACAGTTGTGAGAGAGAGACCTTGATTGGAGGACTATACTGGTTATTATAACACACACATATTACAGTATTTGTTGGTTTGCAGAAAAATGTGTCAAGAGAACATTTAGTATAAAGGCTGTTTTGAACTTTCTGTGAAGGGGCGATAAAAATAAAAAAAAAAGTCAAATTTCTTATACATCTGTAGATATTTACAGTATGTATTGCTGTCAAATGGTTTAAAAGCATAATTTTTTTTCAGTCAGTGGAACCATCATTTCGACTAATTGGTCATTGCCACAATTATAAACCTAGTTAAAAATGTCATGTTTTATTTTTATATTTTATCAATATATTTTGTTTTGCTGTATAATTATAAATAGTAATAAACTTCCATATTTACCTGTATGTATTTTTACTAAACCATATCATAATATGCACAATGCTACGCATGAATTTCCATGAGCAATGACCCAAGTGAATCATTGAACTGATTCTTTGAAGCAAACAAGAAAACATAAATGAATCGAATTTCCCAGCTTTGTCACCACTTTAATGAAGTTTAAATCAGAGATCCTATTAAATTATCTTTGTAGTCGCGCTCTCATACTCCAAACTGGCCTACCGCAGTGGTCTTTAGGAAAATTAGTGGTCTAATAAAAAGTGCATTAAAATCATTGCAATTTTATATCACCAAATAATTATATTGAATATATTTTGAATATTCAATATATTGTCCAGCCATACTCTATTTAGGTCATACAGTGAAAGCACATGTCTATTGAAATTGACACATTGAAAGAGAAACAGCAGATCTACCCCTAGACGCACATACACTTTTAACATTCTTGTAACTGACTCTCCATTGTGATGAAACCTTAACACCTATATGAGCTCCTAACAGCCACTGAAACAACCCAATGTGCACTTTACTTTGAATTCCGCTCACACTTGGCCATCTCTTCTCATGCATTTAGTATCCTACTGAGATCTCAGTGCCGCCACAGAAACCTAGCTGAAATACAGTCATCATGGGATGGTTGTGCCAGCCTCTGTGGTTTTATATTCCATACCTGTCTTCTATTTCACAGTGAAAAACCCTTTATGAGCTTGGATTCATGTTTTTTCTCTATAGGCCAGTGATTTCTACACCTGGACCATATAAACGAGAGAAATTTACCACAGTAGAGTAAGAAGAATCCAGCACAGAGACACAATGATACATAATTGTTTACTCTTGCTGTATTTCCGTGTATTTGGAGCTTAATGATAATGCGATGCTGTTGTAAGTGTTTGTTTTCTTGTGTTGAAATGAATTAATTCCCAGCCAATTCGATTGTTAGCACAGGGGCGTAGATTACGCGGGGGACGTGTCCCCCCCCCCCCCCCCTACATATCACGTAAATTCATCCCCAGCACTTTTTCAGGCAAGTGTGTTTGCATAGAGGTTTTCAAGAGCCAGTGTGAATAAATATAGATTTAAATTCAAAGAGACAGGATAGTCTGTGCATGATCTGATGTTTTATTCGGACCCAGAATAAGGCGAGATGAACATCACGGAGCGCTAAACACTCATGCAGTGTATGTTTCATTCATACTCGAAGCCGGAGGCGCTCTCACACAGAAAGTCGTATGAGGAAATTCCTACTATGGACAAAAGCGTCCAGCTATCGCTGTATGAAAACAGTTTTCAGAAAAACGGAAACGTTTGGAAACATGAAGACTTTAAACATACAATTGCGACAATATGGTTTATTTGTGTTTGTCAAGTCATCTCCAGGTAATAAATAAAGTATATGAACAA